TACGGATCTATTTCAAAAGGACATTTTTGAAAATCCAATTTAATTTGGTCTAGGATGATAGTGAAAAGTAGTCGTTAAATGATCGATATGAATCATTTATAGATATAGAAATAATTAAAACCAATGAAGAAGATGAGAGTGAATATGTATTAGGCTTAACTAAGGAGAGAAAAACTTAGAAGATTATTATGACAATTGTACGTAAAGATCGATTTTGTTTATTATATTCATTAAATTATATCGTTTTGTCTATTATGTATTTTTTTATGTTTGTTATGCATTTTAGACATGTTGAATTTGTTTGTTTCAATTCATAATAATTTATAATATATTTTCTATCGAATTATTATTTATTTGTTAAACTTTTTTAGATGTTATTCTTCAATCATACCTCGTGGATTGGACAAATATGGTCACGGTGTTAGTGGTTGTGGCTTTGATGTTGATTATTCAATTGAAAATGATGGTGTACATGGCACTCGCTAGTCTAACTGGTTGGGGCCTCACACTTGATAGTGGTGCATGTACGTCCGCATGCCCCGTAGTAGTGCATCCTACCGTGGATGATCCCACTATGGTATCCTCAACTCCATGAAGTTCTACTAGATTTGATAATACACAAATCATTTGGGTCATGAATAACTAGGAAGTAATATGTTTTACTTATGATAATTAGTTTTATATTTTTATTTATTATATTGGAATCATTAATGCATTTTTTTTTTTGTTAGATGTTTGGTTTTATCAAATAAATGCTCCATATAAATCAATATAATTTTCAAGAAGCGAGTTGGATGTCATTGGCTCCATATGAAAGTTTTTCTTTATAAAGATTAAAAAAATTTCTACTTCAATACATTTAGAGTAATATATTAATTACTTACTTATATTTCATTTAAAGTGTTAATTTAACATGAAAAGTATTAATCTTATTTTTTTCCCTCATGTAGAAGTGTTTTTTATGGGTGCGATCATTGATGTAATGATAATGGATGCATGGGAGAGTCTAGCACGGAGGAGATACGACTACATGCTCAACAAGCTTAAGAATAAGGATAATATATCCGTGTTTGTTAAATAAGAGATGTAGGAAGCATGGCACCGGGATTAAGCCACTCCGAGTATTAAGCCCGATCTTAGCAAGCATCTCGAAATCACATGTCGAAGATAGGTGATGTCGGTGCTAGCCCATCTAAGTATACTCGAATGGTCCGTCTCTTTGATCGAGCAAGCTGAGCATTTGGTAAATACTATATTATCTATTGTGTTATAAATTAATTTTTTCATTTATTTCATCTCAAATTATTATTTTTTTTATTTTTTTTAGCATCATAAATTGAATCATAACCTAAATCTTTATGAGACTGTTTATGACCACTCACAAGTAGAAAGATGGGACATTCGTCGACGGACGATCACAAATAATAATGATATAGTTTTATATTTTTTTAAATTTATGTACATCTACAAATATAATCTAAGAAATATATTTATAACTTAATTTTGTTATTTATTTCAATGACTTAGGAACACGTGCAATTAATGCAAGAAGCAACAAGAGGATGATTTATTGGCTCCGGATATAGATATGTTCAAGATATATTTAGATGTTGTCGGAGATGAGAAAAAGTAGAGATCGTACGACATCATAACTTATGCCTAGTGTTACTTGCATTCCGATGCCGACTTTTCATCCGCCACTTCATGGTATATTGGTGGTAATATCTAGAAGGTTTCGCCTAGTACAAAGATCATATCAAAGAGATGGAGGCTCTCATCCAAGCAACATGCCAATAAAGTTGAAAGTATGCGGACTCAATTATAGAGAGTTTTAGGATTGTTAGAGAACCTCCAGCCACTTCCTGTCCCTCCTGCTGATCCTCCCACAACCCGGCGAGTCAAACATTCCTCTCAACGATCAGCGACAAAAAAATGATGTAGGAGATAGTGACAATGAGGACTAAATTTCTTGTTTGCTTTTACGGAAAGTTCTTAATTTTTTTTGTATATCTTAATGCATTTATATATGTATTTTATTTTAGTTGATACAATTTTAACTTTATTTAATAATGTAGCGTATTTCGATAAGGCGTTGTTTATTATTTTTTTTTGTTACAATTACTAATAAACGGTAATTCATTAAACAAAATAAAATAATGAAATTAGTGGCGGAATAGAGATGACAATTAGCGACAAATGATAGTTAGTCGCTAAATAATGACAAAATTATGAGGATATTAGTGACTAAAAAATAACGATCGCACAATCTATCGCTATTTAACAATGAAAATAAGTAGAAATAGCGACGAGTTAGCAACAAATATGAGACGTCATGGGCGACTGACTTAAAATTATTTAGCGATGGAATATCAACAAAATAGCGACAGAAAAAAAATTCATCATTAAAAAAATAGCAACCATTACTTTAGCGATGGATTGAGTTTTACTTCTAATTCGTCACTAAAGCTATTTAGCGACAGAATTATGGGAAATAGCGGTGAAATAGTCTGTCGCTATTTCCCAAAATTTTTGTAGTGCAATAGCAATTATGCTTTAATTAATAAACTCGAACATAAGGATTTTTCTTATAAATTCAATGACCTTCACAATATCTGCAACAATGTAGGTGTAGGAAGCACCACTAGGAGGAAATAAAAAGAAACCACTGGAAGCTGTTTCGCATTGTCAAGCATTATAAGCATAATAAGGACAGAAAGCAGTCTCACCTAAATACAAATACTGCAACAGATTTTGGGCATGCATGAATAAAACAATTGGTACAATAGCTGTACCATATCTTCTGACCATTATTAAATTGCTCATCTTTCTAATGAGTCAAATGGTTAGAGTGGTCCTCAAGGAAATCCCAGCATAAAATTTTATGACTATTAATTTACAGCTTAATCATTCAAATTAAGAATTCCATAGCTTGTATCTACCCTATTTTGTCTGCATTGTCCTCTGAGGCACAGACGCGGCACCCACTAATCACAATTTAAAAAAGAAAATAAAAGTACACATATCTGAGGAAATGGATGATATAAGTACCCCCTGAGTGGTTGAATTGTCGAACATAGCCGTGCAGATCGTATTAATTCATTGGTTCCTGTATATTTTAAAATGATAAAAACAACTTTTTTTTTAATCATTCCAACTTTTAAATACTTCAAAATTAATTTTTTTCACATGGTTCAAAATTAACCTTTTTTTCTGACATGATTAAAAGACACTTAACAATATATGATCTCGATTATTTTAAGAATAAATTCTAAAAAATACTGAGCAAAAAAATCAAATCTTAAAGTTAGCTTACAAATTGACACTTACTTATCAACAAGCTTATGGTTAAAAAACTTATTTTATTTTTTTTGAGGAAATTTTTTGAACTTCTAAAAAGGTTTCTTCATATTTGAATAAAAAAATTTCACCAAATTGTTGGATGGGTGATAAACGAACTGGTTTTTACATAAATTTTTTATCAATTTATAAGGTTTGAATTTTAAAATAACATTTATTAAGATAGGTTAAATTTTATAACTCCTGTTTTGAACAAGATTGGTCTTATTTTCAATATAAAATATAAGTATTCGGGGAAAACAAAAAAAATTAAATAAATAAACAAAGAAAATAAAAAATTTCCTTTTAGAGCTTAATTCCAATTAATGAATGGCAAAAGGTTTGGATTTTGAGAAATAAGCTAGTGGCGCATGCACATAGGTTAAAAGGGGTACTTGGTCAATGACTAAGTTTTTCGTGGGTCACTGTATAAGATATTTGCTTTCCTGTGTTAGTAGTGGTGAGGCTACCAGCAAGAAAATGGAGTAGGTGCAAATTGCAATTCAAAATGGTCAAAACATTCGATCTATGCTCAGAGATATACTTAGTTGGTGCTGCGCCTTCTAAACAAAATTTAGATTTAAATTTCTATATTTTCAAGCACACAAAAATTGGGATTGGCTCAATTCTCATAATCTATTATCATTGAAGAAAATTAATGGAAAAAAGGGTTCCTCCATTTTCTTAATTTCTGCCAGGCAAATCCTTATTGCCCTTCCATATCTACGACGAAGAGAGCACGATATTATGCTGTCATATTTCATTGGAATACGCCAATCCCTTAAAAGAATAGGTTCGAGTGCTGATGGGACTGGCTAAAGGAATCTCACTGATGCTCTATCATATTTCCTTAGAATTATAGTTTCTTGTTCAGGACCTGATGGTTACTGGCACAAGGAATCTCATTGATGATCTCCAGTAACATCTTGGCGAAAGCTCGAGGTTTGTTTTGTAACCATTTTTATGCAAACTCCAGTTCCTGTCCCTTTACGGATAGCTCGAGGAAGGACAGTGGGCTGAAAAATGAACATCCTTTCTCGAATAGGAATCATTTCTTTGTTTATTTATTACGAGTACCAAATTCATGTTACGAGTCTTGAGATCGATGAAATTCCTTGCCTTGAGTTAAGCATCAATCATTGAAATCTTAAGGAGAAATACTTTCTTTTCGTGCTTAATTTCTTGCACCTTACGCTGACATAGACACCACATGAATGTTAATAGACTTTTACATTTTGGTACAAGAGATGTTGTGGGCCTAAAATTTTTCCTAATGTCTTCCATCCAGCTGCAAGCCATGATCCTAATGAAAAATAAGACCTCAGCCTTGCTGAATTTAGAAACTGTTTCCGTAGACGCCATAAAAGGAGATGAATCAAGTCGCCAATTTATCCCCAGCTTGGTCTTTTCGAACTTTGTTTTGTTTGCAAGGTGATATTGATTGATAGGGGACCTCCAAGTTGTGTGACTTCACGAAATTGTTATTTGCAGAAAGGGAATTGACCCATCATTCCATCAAAAACAAAGCTCTGTTCAAAATAAAAATTAAACAAAGCTAACGGTTGATGTTTACTGTATTGTGATACACAATTAGATGGAGTGCTAAAATGGTCTCGTTGCTCTTGAAAAATCATCAGTACAAATTGATATAGTTGTTGGGTTAGCCTAGAAAGGCTTTAAGCTTCGGTGGACAAATAAGAGTTGAGCCGGAAGTGCCCACTGCCTGCCTTATTGGGCCATTTCGGGCTTTGCTGAATGCTGACCAATCAAGCACGAAGCTTCCTCCGAGGGTTTTATATACCTAAATCCTTGTTCCAACCTCCAAATGTTTACATATTATATAGATTTCGGCCTAAGTTGCATGATTAAGTCCACTGCTTCAAGCTTAACTTTACTGTTGTTTGATGTTTTCATAGAAATGATGTACTCTATTGTTTAATACAATTTTTTTCACATGTGGATTATTTAAACTATAAGAGTTAATGTAATTATTGGGTAAAAATTTAATGTAAAAAATATTTGAGTAAATATATGTAATAAAAATGTTCCTGTAATATAATGAAGTGTTGAATATTAATATAATATTCAACCCAACCTTTTCTATCGATTGTCAAACCTTGTTAAGAAAAAAAAAGTATTGGTGGTCAAACCTAACATACATTATACAATTCTCAAAATCAACCTCCCTCTTTAAAAATAAAAAGTAGTATAAATCATACTCAGATTTTTAAGTAATGTTTTAAATTTTTAAATTAAAATGATTATTTTAAATAATACTATAATTTTGATATCCAAATAATAACGGGTTGGAATTTCAATATTTTTATTCTCTCTTAATTAAAAATTAAATTATATTTTAATATTTCATTCAACAATTTAAATTTTTAGACCAATATGATTATTTAACACTTAATATGAAATGGAAATTAATAATATATTTTCGTTTGAGGATAATTTTATCAGATCAAATATTTCAATAAAAATCATAAATTATATATAAGCATGACGTGTTGGGCAGTAGCCCAGTGACCTTAGAACCATTTTGTAGGCGAGTAACGACACGTCGAAGACATTCTACCTTATTGGTTATCACGCAAAAACAATGGCCCTGTCATTTATGGGACAACTTCAAGCTGCACTTTCTTCTGTCCAAAAGAATAATAATAAATAAATAATAAAAGATAAAGAAACAAAGAATGCCGTGGAAACGGCAAAGCTAGCTTTGACATGTCATATCAAATTCTCTGTTTTTATATATATATATATATATATATATATATAACCAGAGCCAGAAACTGTCAACCAATTCAATGTAGAGACATAAACCTTTGTCAAAATTAATTACTATACCATTCCCATTTCCATTCGAGGGAAAAAAAATCCACTAATGCATATCAAATAAAATGGAGTTTATTTGTTGATAAGAAAAAATAAATGAATCGAGGTGTCTGGGCTCAATTTTTCCTGACTCCACTGATTAAATAGTACTGTTATTTATATTTCGTGTCTTTATATCTACATTATTAAATTGTATTACAGGTGATAGCTTGCCTGTTTTAAATCGAGTCAGGTTTAAATTAAAAGCTATTCCAATTGGTTTTGCAAAACTATAAAGACTAATTTATAATTTACTCGCAGGGAATCCCACAACTATTGGGTCTTGGACCTAATTGATTAGTTATCCCCTTAAGATAAATGGACTGTAAGTACATTAATTTATAACTTGCTATTGGATCTTGGACCTGTTTGATTACGTATCTCTTTATACTGTAAGTACATTAATTTATAATTATTTTTCAATCGAGTATATAGATTTATATTTTTTATTTAAGTATATCAATTTTTTAAAAGTTGTCAATCAAATTTGTCAGTTAATTTTTCTGTTAAGTGACGATCGGCTCGTTACCCTCAAAATATCAAATTACAGTTTTACCTTAGTTTTTAACTATCTAATAGATGAACTTTTATTTTTTTTCTTTTGAATACTTCGATATTTTCAAAATTATCAATCAAGTACTTTCATCAATTTATCCATTAATTGATGAAGTGTTCATTACCCTCAAAGTATCAAATTATAAATTTGCCTTCTTTTTGTTCAAGAAAATTTTTTTTCCAAATTATTCTACCATTTAAAATTTTATTTTATATATATAATTTGGTATTTCAAGAGTAACAAACACATCATTAGTGAATAGAGAAATTAATAAAAGTATTTTATTGGTAGTTTTAAAAGGTTAGTGTATTCAAATAAAAAAAAATTAAAATCCATATATTCGAATGAGAAAAAAGAGAGTAAAATTACAATTTACTATTCTAGAAGTGATTGACATCCCATAAGTTAATAAAAAAATTAATAAAAACACTTGATTAACAATTTTAAAAAAATTAATTTACTCAATCAAAAAAAAATTAAAATTCATATATTCGATTGAAAAAAAGTACAAATTTTATATATTTATTGTGCAATTATCTTTACTCTCTTTTGGTATTAAAGTTCTTCTTGTTGGAAAAATAATGTTCTTGATGTCTCGTCTCTTTACAGCAACATTGTGAAATTTCATGTTAAATGCATGTAAACCTCACAGTGAAAATTTCTTATCTGGTAGTTCGTAATATAGATTCAAAATTGTTATAAAAAAAATTTTAAAAAAAATAAAGAGAGAGAAGAGAACAATGCAATTGGTAATTTAGCATGGTGCGAACTTTTTTTTTTTTTGGGGACATTATTGAAGGGAAAAAAATAAAAAATAAAGGAATGAACTATAGGTGCATGCTTAATTATGATATGGAGCCCCTTTTTGTGGAAGATTATGATAACCAAATTGACTTGGAAGTAAATTGATGAGGATAAAATACGTTATGATTTGGGTGTGATTTCACCGTCAAGAGAGCTAATTATTAATTATTGTCCAGCTTTAGTTGGAATTGTGCTGAATCAAACTCAAAAGAAGGCTTTGCATGATTTGAAGATGATTGAGGGATCTTGAATTCATGCTATTGGACTATAAAGTTCAATGCTAATTAAGCTATCGGGGTAATTCTACAGTAAGATGGGATTAAATTTACAAAGTTGCATTTGATATGATATGCATGCAACTTTAAAATCTTTAAATCTTGGGCTAAACTCTTGGCTTTTTCCTTTTCTGCTTTCCCGTATTAATATGAACGCACAACCAGGGGGAAAAAAATTTGGACATTGACATCTGAACCACAACACGCAACAGTCGATGTTAGATGTAGAAAACTCATACCGCATAGATTTATTGAGGATTGAAGCACATTAATAGTATTTGGATAAGTTGAGAAACTGATGAAGTCATACAACCTTGGAGGATGATATGGTTATTAAATGATTGTTGTTACAGTGGTGATGTTTGCTGATGGGTGGTGCTTGTGTTAAAAGGAATATTTGTAAAATAAGTATCTCTAGTTATTAAAAAATTATTTTAATTTAAAAATTTAAAATGTGAGGTGAGATTTTAGGAATGGTTTTATTTTATTCTCTAACATACATTCTCAAATAAAAATATTTTAAATTTGAAATTTATATAAACTCATTATTACTTTGTATTTAATTATTTAATTTTAATTAGAATAAAAATAGGAGTAGTGAAATTCGAAAATTCTGATACTATGTTAAAAAATCGTCTCAACTTAAAAATTTAAATTATTAGGTGAAACTTCACAAATAATTTTATATTATTCTCTAATATTGGTTGGATGGAGAATCCTTTGATGATCAAGCTAGTGTATAGAAAAAAGAGAATAACCAATGGAGGATGTAATGCAATTGTTAAAGAGAAAATGCATAGCGATAACATGAAAAGAGGTTCAAAACCCTGAACTTTAGGTCTCTTGGATATTTATATAGTTAAAAGAGCCATCAAGTTGAGAAAAATAGAATGATTCATTCATTGCTACTAAGAACTTTTGATACCAATTAGGAAGATAAGTGCTTTTAATGTTAATAAGTCACTGTTTGAAAAACATGTTAGCGTCATTATTGGTATGAATTAGATAAAAATAGCCTTGGAAATGTGCATTCATTTAATAGATTCATTTAATAGATGTACTCTATATTTTTTTTCAGTTGGTGGGAGTTGGTTTGACTATTCGGACAATGGTCATCTGGGTTCCTCTCATGTGTGTTCCTTAGTGGAGCATATACGTCCATCTGCCCATGTCCTTGACATGATCCCGTCTTCTAAGCTTTTTCTCGAGGGCGTCACTAGGCTAAAGATGAGATCTTATGTATTGCTTGTAGTAGGGGTTTATGCATTTTGTATAATGACACTTGTCATCCGGGCATATTAAACTACTAATGGTGATGAAGTGATGTTCCTCGAATGTTTAATAAATGAGGATGTAGCTTCTCTTATAGCTGAATAAGTGGTGGTTCTACTGTAGTGGAGGAAGATCTAATGGCTTTATGTAACTATAAAACAAGTCTTGGAGGACTTTCCAACGATTAAGTTAGTATACGAAGAAAAAAGATGTCTGAATATGTTATAGTATTTGTGTTCGTTGCAGAAAAACGATAAATAACATATTTATCAATTAGAGAAGTAGAAAAACATAACAATTAACCTTTGGTCTACTTGGCCTTTTATATATTAGAGGATTTTGAGTAGTTGCACAGAGAGAAAGGTAAAACCGTATATTTGTATATGACTAATATTTTCTGACATCTGCTCGAAGAACTATGTATATATATATATATATATATATATATATATTTACAGTAACTCATATTTGACAACATTGGCACCCTCACAATTGGTATAGATTTGACAAAGACAATCTGAAAATTCTACTCTCATTTAATGAATGTTTTTTTGTCTATCAAATAAATTGGAAAGGCATCTTATCTATCTGAGTTGATTATCTGAATAGATATCAGAGGGCAACGTCTGTTAAAAAGTAGTCGAAGCTTGATCTTGTCCGAGACTATGATCCCGATTGGAGCCACAAACCTTATTGTGACGTTGTGTCACGTAGGCATATCAACTGGTAACTGAAGAGCAAAAATTTATGGCATTAAAAAATACTGTTCATTTTTTTTCTTTTTCGCACGATATTGTGATGCTTCCCTACATCTTCACGTGCTGCATCCACGAAAATAAAAAAAAAGTAAGCATAAACAAATTTGACGAGTTTTTTTTTTTTTTCCTAAATAGAATCCTTTTTAATCTATTTTTCGTTTCTTATTTAAATCTTATATATATATATATATATAAAGGGATAGTTTTACTATGTAGATTAGTTTTACTATGTAGATATCCATATCATTTTTTTAATTAAGTATTATAATATATATTTAATATAATAATTTTAAAAATTAGAAACATAAAAGAAAACTAACTTATGCTTTTTTTGTTTTTCTTTTGTTATCTGTATCTTAATTTTTTAAAGTTTAAATACTCCAAATTTGACATTCAATGTACTTCATATAATCTTTAAGTATTTTCAAAAGGAAACACATAGAACACGAATTTTCATATTTGCCTTCTTCTTTTGTTAATATTGTTTCTTCTTTTTTTTTTCTTATTAAAAAATAAAAGTTCAAATTTGAAATCTTTTGAAAATAAAGAGACATTAATATCAATCAAGTTACCACAATTTGAAATCTTTTGACATTAAAGAGAGACTAATATCAATTAATTTACAACTCGTTAAATTTTTAATTATTTTTACGTAACATGATTTTGGTTTAGCATGAAAGAATACTAATGTCTTTCACTTCCAGTGCAGAAATGTAGCGAAAAAACAAGTCCCAACAATGCTCATACATCATCATCTTCTTCTTCTTCTTTCTTTAGAATTTAATGCTCATATTACAAGCAATTAGGTTCATTCCTTACTTTTATTGCTTATATTTTTTCACTATAGAGCATTCATATTAATTTATTAGGTATTCGTAGTCGGACTGGTTATCTGTTAAATCCAAGAATAATGAACAAGTTTTGGCCATAAACCTAGTTAGATATATTGAAGAGCCACATGCATTTATAAAAAAGATATATAGTGCTATATTCTTTTGCTCATGAATTTTATCTCTGGTACAGGCTGTTTAAATTTTAGAGAGCAAATATTTGCATTGAGTCATAAGAATTTTCTTGCAACCCGAACAATTTCTCAGAGGTCAACACTAAACATTTTTCAGATTAAGCTTCCAAATCTTGAAGAATTTAATAAATAAAAAAATCACCACCGAAAGTCTTTTTAAATCAAACTTTCAAGCTTTGAAGAAATCCATCAATTTAATTGTTTAATGCCATAAAAATTCAAAATATTAAAGAAAAGAGGCTAAAATAGCACGCTAATACCCCCCATATATTTTGGTGTATATATTTTTTCTTTTTCTAGCAATTTACATCTTTCCTTTGGTTTTTAAAGGTAGGATATCCTAGGGTATCCTTGGGTCAGCTATATGGGATTTGAGACTAAGTTGAGTAATAAACAAGCACGAAAATTTTCTGAGGTTTTGAACTTTAAATATATATATATATATATATATATATATATATATATATATATATATATATATATATATATATCAAACTCATTTATCATTCAAATTAAAAGTTTACGTGTATAATAAAAGAAAATTGTATACATGTGAACACTAACAATCATGGTTGGTTTCGTACAATATGATTTTATATTAGATTTAC